AGTACTTTAAACTGTATAAATAATGTAAAATTAAATTGATTTAAACAGCCAATCATACGAAAGTCTTCCTATGACCTTACGTATTGTATATTCTGTATCTTTCTGATCGACCAATCAATCTCATCGCAAATATATGTATTTAGTTCCGAACATAAAATGCAGGCCTACCGAAAAATTAATTACAATTAATTTTTATTATATGTCATACAATTAAAATCGATTTAAATTATCTTGAAATTAATTGAAACCTAATTAGTGACGAAATAATTACAATTAATTGCAATTAAATTCACTATACCATATAGAGCGATGCATATAACACCTAAAGTAAACCGATTTTTTTAAATGGTGAAAATTCAAAATGCAAATATATTGTACGTAAGCTAATTACGTAAAAATTGCAATAAATTGACTCATTGTGATTACGCCACCAATCAATTGATTGAGTTCAAAAAATTGCAATTAATTGCCTCACAATCAATTGTTCCGTAAGCCTGATAAAACGCTATGTATTTACCTAGTTATAATATATATTATAATAAAGCTATTTATCGCTTTTAACAGATTCGATCTTTTTTTTTCATTTATCTACGTACGTACAGTACGTACGTGGGTAATCAAATTTCTAAGAGATCGAATTGTTCGAATTTTGATTATCTAGGATTTAGAGATCAACATAACTTAGTTAAGATTTCAACTGTGCAAAAATCCTATCTAAAAAAAAAAATTTTTGTCAATATACATTATTCGATCTACTTTACTTGCCTGTTGACTTAAATGATGCTTTAAAAGGTGATGACAAAACTTTGTAAAGCTTAGTTTTTTTTGATGCAAAATCCCCTTTGTATCTCGCATGTATACAGGTTACATTTTTTAAATTAGTCATATTAAATTATAATTTAATAATGGTGCATTAATAAAAATTAAAAAATAATAACATACATTTATTATTTCCGACCAACGAACTAACATAAATTAGAAAAATAAGACTTCGAGATCATTAACCAAATTTGGCCTTAAACCTAATAGTATCGTATATTATCCGGCAAACTCATATGATCATGAAAAAATTTCTTGTTATTTTTTTTCATGTGTTACTATGTATTCCAATATTCAAAATTAAAACACAGCGAGCGACTCCTTACCAATCATGATCATAAATTGCCGGATAACACCAATATGTCGAATACAGTAATTTGGCAAATGATTGGCTAACGTGCCGCAAAGCGGCACGTGCCCATTTGCCAAATTACCGTTATTCGACAATTTAACCTATTTCGAAAATAAATAGGTGTAAATAAAATCATACTTTCTGTTTTAAAATTCCAAATTAAAAAATTAAATAGACGTAGTGGATGATAAAACTAGTTTTTTGATAAATACTTACAGATAAACGATTATGTAAATAAGTACTTTAAAAAAAAAAGGTTCAAAGGTCATTTATTTTGAATAAATTAGTCACTCAGTTTATTTAATATCAGATATAGTCGTACTCCTTTATAATCAATCAGCTTGTTTTAATATGACTGTATCTGATCATTAATTCTGAAACCCACCTATATATTAACATCATATTAAAAAAAATAAAATTTATAGACCACTTATTTCATTCAAAATCAGAAATCTGAACATTAATTCTTAATTACCCTAAGATTCCAATCTTCTTTTATCTCAGAGCACTAACAAATCAGCATGAATTAAATATGCTGTATCAAATCAACTATCTCACACTAAATATTGAATATACAATGAATTTATCCGGATATCCATTCAATTTTCTGGCCGATATCCGGATATTTGAAAATTTTTTTTTCTGAGCAAACGAATATTCAGTTGGTAATTTTTTGACCTGATCAAACCTCTAGTCCAGATTTAGAACAACATATACTCAATGAATATATCGAAATTCATTGTTCATTGAGATTTTTGACCAGTATCCCAATATTAAAACAATTGAACGAATGAATATCTCTTCACCAACCAATAAACTTTAACGGCCTAAAATATTCTAATTTTAGTTAGTATGATTTGGGACAAAATCACAACGGGACTATCTTATATACCTCGCGAAGTGTGATGTGAATCCACCCAATTAAAAATTCAATCCACGCGAGGTATGGTGCAATTTGCGCGAAGATGACATCATCATCTTCTGCGAGGCATATCTCTTGTTTAGCAGTTTCAATCTGAAGTACAACATACATAATGATAAACCTGTGCATATGTAAAGAAGTAGAAAATAAATAAGGAATCAAGTTAAATCGAACCGAGTTTATTAATTACAGTAATTGACATCGCCTTTAGCACATAAGTGTCGTCTGGACCATTTCGACGCTGTAAGCGTTATAACGGCACTATGAATATTTTTGATATTTTTAATGATGTCATTGATCAAACGAGTAAAGTACTAAACTAATAAAATAAAAAATAGTAATACGCAAAAAATATAGTAATAATAATGATGGAATATAAATTAAATAACGTCTATGATTTGCTCTATAAAATTTTATGTACAGTACATTTACTTTAATATTTTATGTACATTAAAGAGAATTATAGTCATTTATCAAGTTGTCAGATTAAACAATTGGATTTAATAAATTTACTAGTGCTGGGGTGATGAGTGGTTTTCTATCAGACTTAGGCTTAGGTCCCCTTTTTTTAGTAGGCTTAATGTATACACATTCGCGATTATGTCTCTTACAATTCGCGCATATTTCCTCACCCGAACATTTTTCCTTTCTATCTCGACAACTGGTACATGCCAGTGTCACGTAAGAGCGAACTTTTCTTGTTATTTCAGATTTATAAGGTTGCGGTGTCCCTTTAAGCGTGTTGGATTGAGAGATTTCCACTGAATTACAGCATATTGTGCAGTATGGATGATATAAATTGTTATAGTATTTGTTGTAAGATGATTCAGAATATGAATTTGAGATTAAGTTCATTCTTGTACTGTATGTCGCGAATTGATAAATTGATGATGATCGATCTAAAGAATATTTCGTTTTTTTGCCACAAATTTCAATCTATTATATATAGATTTTTTTTCAACTATCTTTACTTTGTTAATTTCAATTTAGAAATTTCTTTTTCGTTTTCCCATCTCTTAAAAGTTGTACAAGAATTTTTTAACGGTATGTTTTCGCTCATATGTTGACATCATAAAGTAGTGGAAATTTGATTATCAACCTTTTTAAAACCTGTATATTATTTCATTACAAAGTTTATTGCCGATAATTGCCACACTAGAACATTCCATTAATTTGTTTTCATATGTTTATTTAGCGTTAACAGAACCAAAAGAATACATGAATCGAAGGAATAGAAAGTGTTCATTTATTTAAAGTTTGGCGCATGACAACAATGTGGTAAACAATTTTGGCAATCAAAGGAAAATTATCATAAGTATGTTGTAACAATCCAGTAATACAAGTTATACAGTAATAAAAACCGGAATTTACGTCCGACGGAAAATTCGGATTCTGGAATTTTCCATTGAGTTTAACAAAATCTTTTATTTAGTGCTGTGTGTAATGCGTGTAGCAATTATCATGTGATACGGAATTTCAACAACGTATTCATTGGAATTTAGTTCCGAGCACAAGTTATATGTCGAGCAAAAGTGTACGCAATAATTTTTCGACCCCGGAAATTTGCTTTACGCTTTTACTATTTTTATACTGGTTCTAATTCTACTTATCACAAAGCAAAATATTTGTTCATTCACTGCTTATAAACATATAAAGTAGCAAAAGGAATTTTTTTTTTCAGATCGTCTTTTAAGACGTTTGAGTGAATCCCGTGATTTATATGCAATTTTCAGCTATTTTACCAATTTTTTTTTGAACCTCTTTCTTCCACTTCATAAAATATGCCTAAAGAGAAAAAAGAAGAAAAACAAGAAAGAAAACAGAAAAGAAAAGAAAATAAACGAAAAAATATTTTAAACGCTTGTAGCTGTTGCAGAATAAAAAAGATAAAGTGTACCGGAGGTGCGCAATGCGCTTGTTGTACTCGCAACGGGCTAATGTGTCATTATCCACCTGCAAAGAAACGTGGACCTAAAAATCGCCAGAAAAACATATTACATAATGACATTAATCGTGTACAAAAAGATGACACAATTAATGATCTTATCGAGAGGGTTAGTAATGTCGAAAATATGCTTGACGATTTGAACAAAGGTATTGTGCATCTGCAACAACCAAATTGTATATTATGAATTGTTATTATTAGTTTGTTAAAGAAATCTTTTATAGTTTCCGGTGAATTGAATGATAAAAGTTTGAGCAGCAGAGAAGCTTCTGCGCAATCATTTGACAAACTCTCGCAATCAGTAGCTGCGATTATGTGTGACCCATCTAATTTGCTCTTAAGTAAGTATTTTTTTGCTTAAAATGTATAGTAATAAATTTTATAAAAACTCATTACATTGTTCGAAAAAGCCCTCCCAGACACTGTTAACAACAGTTACGTGAATCTGCAATATGGAAATCCCACTAACCCAATTGATAAGCTCGCCGAGGATTATTTTTTGTCTGATCAATACTTTTCTCAAGGTACAATTTCATATTTACAATTTTATAATACCATAAGTTTTTAATAATTACATATTATATATGTTCTATTTATCTTGTTACGATAGATGTTTCATCTTCTACTTCAAATATTCATCCAAATTATCAAGACGATTTGATTCTTGCTTCTCAACAATCTTATGTATTACAAGACATGTTACCTACCTTTCTCGAAGATAACGCATCTTTCACAAATGCTTATTCTACAGAAATTTCAGAGGAATCTACCTTTACAGATGCATTCTCAAGTGATAAACATCCTCTTTGACGTACAAATTTTAAAATCATTCTTATGTATTACAATTATTAAGTTTATTTGCGAACATAAACCAAAGCTCATTTATAATGTTTTTTCATTGATTACTTTCGAATTTATATCAAAAAATATATACAAATACAATACAAATATTGCTTTTTATAAGAAATTAAGAAAATTAGAGTTTTGATAATAAACTAATTAATCAACATATGATTTTTTTTCTGTGTTACATTTATGAATGATCTAAACTTGACTATGTGATCTTTTTTCCATTAATATTTTAAATAATTGACTCCAACGAAATTAGAATATAGTCTCGGGTTGAATTAAGGCTATCCTAACGTTAAGTTCTTTGTTTACTTGATCTCTTGGTATCGAATACTTAAAATCTTGATTTGCTTACGATACTTCAATTATCTCAATTTAGGTTGAAAAATAAATAGAAATTCCAGATTACCTGTTTTTTATGTTCTAGGCATCAAAGAAATATAATGCATAAACGATACATGATCCAAATTGTTTTAGAACATCCTGTGAAGAATAAGAAAATTTCGTTAAATGTAAAGCAGAGAATTTCGGAATCTTTAAGTATTAAAATAGGCGTCGGCAGATATAGCTATTGTCAACGTCGATCAGAACAATATACTTTCATGGGCCGTTTTAATTTGATAGTTGGTGTGTGGATATAGTTTTAGATATTAAAGTTGCTGAACTTAAAGAATGATATGTGTCTTAATTTTTTAAAGAGAGCTTTACCAAATTTATTAATTATTATTGCTTCGCTTTTCTACACTATAATCAGTTACACAATATTTATCTTCCTAATGTAACCAATAAAAAAAATTAGACGCATGAAATGATTTCAATCTAGCGATTAAAAATAAAGTAAGTGTTTGAGAGTATTTTTTGTTAATGTTTTAAAGCAGACCTTTTATTTAAGAAATGTAAACTAATTTATATTTAAAAAATCTTTGTACAACGATTTATTAAATATGTTCAATTAAATTGTAACTATCCTGTTTATATTTAAGTATTTTAATATTGCTTTGATTAGATTTTAAGTTAAAAATTAACATCTATTGATATATCCATACAAGAGATAATTATAAAAATTAAAAATTAATTTTTTATTATATATTTTTTAGAAAATTTTTAATTTATATTACAGGCGACTATTATTTGTAGTACAATTTGCCAATCAAAATTCAAAATTAAATATAATATATAAAAATAATATCCCAAAATTTTGTTTATAAATAGAACTCTAAACATATATTTTAGCAAAAATTTTCAAAATTTAGAAAGTAAAAAAAAAACAGTTTTTTTACAATTAATTTGAATAAATTTTTTTAAAATAAACACTCTTTATAAAATACATTTAACAAAAAAAAGGTTTTATTTAATTCTAATTACTTGATTCTAAAATAGTTAAAAAAAAAATTAGTTTTTAACAATTTAGATTAAGTTATTTTTTTGTTTAACAAAAATTTTTTTACTATATAAAGCTTTATTCTTTTTTTTTTGCTTAGCAATCCTGCCTTTATTATTATTATTATTATTATTTTGATATTAAAAGGGACCTCTTTGGCCATAGTTTTTTATTAGAAGTTTTATTTTAGTTACAATAAGAGTATATCAAGTTACATATACACTTTTGGTGCCTAATTAAGTAGTTTGCCCAAAGCATTAGTACTATGCTAGGAGTTTACACTATTTGTTGTACCTGCACTCCAACTACAAAGTTACCTATTTAAATATTCTTAATTTCTTTGTGTGGGACTCCTAACTTTCTTGACTATTTTTATAGTCATTAAAATTCATATTTGCCTTAGAACAGAACTGATAGTTCTTATTTATTCTCAAGATAAACCTACTATAGTAGTCCTGCTTACTCGGGATATATATCTAGATTCTTTAGCAACTTACATCATGGCTTAACTTATGCACTTGGGGTCAGGACTAATCATTGAACCCTACTATTACCTATTACTACTCTTTTAAGGTTTACAGAGTCCTGTATCACATTCCATTACTTTTCATATTTTTACTCCTTTTGGTATCATCAGTCTTCCAAACCAGATAGCCCAGAGAGATTGGTCTACCCAGATCTAAGTTTTTTAGGTTTAAGTTTGAAGGTCTTTCAATCCTTGGTTTATGTTTTTATAGCACATAACTTTTTTTTCTGGAGTCTTATCCTAGGATCTTCCACTAGTTATCCAGTTATCAAAATAACAAAAGAATGTACAACTAGTACAGCTCTAGTGACCCCAGTGGTTTAGTTAGTAGATCCTTTTTGCTCGAAGAATCTTCATTATATGAATTTTCTAATTTTTGGAGTCTAGTCAGATTTGTTCTGTAGTACTAGTTTACACTTGGTTAGATTAGATCTGCTACTTTCTTAATTGGAATTTGCCAAGCTGGTTTTGGTTTTTTTAGGCTACTATGTATAGGTCTTTAATATATAGCAATTCTAAAAAGCTTATTATAAATTTGCAGCCCCATACCTGTTTGCATTTTTTGTGCAATAACACAAATGCTTCTATGTCTCTCAGCACACACAAGACATTAGTATACCCTAGTTTACAGATATAGAACCTAGCTTAATTTAGAATAAGCTGTTACTATGACACAAATAAATTGTATCAAAATATCTAATAGGAATCAAACTCAGTATCTAGTCAAACTAACTTGAAAATATAACAACTTCACTACTTTACTATATCATCACACCCTGTCTTTATTATTTATTAAAGAATAAAATTACATAAAATCCACAATTATAGCTTTAATATCCACAATAAAAACTTATCTAGCTACTATAAAGTACCTAAATGTGATCTGCCATAACAATAATACTTCTCCTTTTTGGGTTATTTAAACATATAGAACTATACCAAAAATTTCTAGAAAAGCTTATTGCTATCTTTGTCAGAATTGCCTTTCTCTTAATTTTCTCTTCTTCACAAAGAGTATATAAGAAAAAATAGTAATATATAAAATACTAACAAGAAAACACAAATAAAAGAAGTAAAAAAAAATTACAAACAGATACAAACAAGAAAAAAAAATAAAAAAGAAAAACAAAAGGCAATTTAGAAAATATATATAAGTTAAAAAATTATATAATACAGTCAGACCCTCTAAATGCACCCTTCCTAAATGCATCACCTCTCTAAATGCATGTCTTCTTTTGGGCCCAAATAATATTACATCTATAGATTTTTATCTCTCTAAATACAATACCTCTCTAAATGCATGTGCTAGAGCAAGTCTCAACGATATGTATTTAGAGATGTCTGACTGTATTTTTAAATTTAGCTTTACTCAAAATTTAGTCTATATTATATATAAATTATATTTGAGTTAGAGTTAGCTTTGCAAGAATTTTCTAGAAAGCTTTATAAGTCTTCATTAGTTCTTAATTGTGAATACCATGTGTGAATATGTGATTTCTCATGACTTTTGTTTCCAATTTAGAATTGGTAAACAAAGTAAGTTTTTTAAAAGAAGTATGTTAAATTTTTCACTTTTAGTTTAGTAAAAATATTTCCTAAAAAACTTCAAGTAAAGCAAAAATATAGTAGAAAGATTTATATTTATAACCTTTAAATAATCTAAAAAAATTTACTATTTTATTTTTGATACTAGATATTTATTGCGGTTTGCAAAAATATGTGAAATTTGATAATTAAAAAAAAAAAATTACCATATGCCACTGTTTACAGTATTTGGTATAACAAATAACACAGATCAATTAAATTATTATTTATATATAATATGTGATATAAACAATTAAGCATTGCACATAATCTTTAATTTTTCACCATATAAAAAATTATATCATACCAGGTACTGTAAGTAGTGACATATGGTAATAATTTTTAATTCTGGTTTCTAATTTTTTAATATTTTTTTAGGCTTTTAAATTTTTTTTTTTTTTGTAAAATTTGGTAATCTTGCCAACACTTTATTAGAATACAATATTAAACTTACAGTAAAATATTAATTATAACTCAAGTTACTTTAAGCCCACCTAAGTTACAAGTTTTGCTAACCTAGTTGTTCTCAAGTAAATACCCATGTTCGATCTGCTATAGTAAATGTTTATCTCTATACCAAAAAACCTTGCAAGTGAATTCTTTGATACTTCACTAGATGGTATTTACAGCCTATCAAGACTGCTATCTTTTCTAAACCTTCTTTCACTAGCTTCATAAGCAGAAGGATTCATAGTCTTTAACTGACTTATGAAAAAAAAAAACCAACACTAAAAAGATAAAGAGAATGACATAAAAGGGAAAAATAAAAAAATTGCCTAAACAACAAGAAAATAAAAAAAAAGAAACAAATAAAACAAGAAGAAAAAAGCAGAAAAAAAAACAATATATAAAAGCACCATTATAGCCCATATTAGATACAAGTTGTAAAAATTATATATTAAATTTAAAAATCTTGTATATTTCTATTGTAAAGCTAAGCCTTATTGTTAAGACTTTACTATCCTGTCTGGGTTGGTTTGTTAACCAAAGTGCCAATTGGTTCATCATGTAGAGTAGGTTATTATTGCCAAAACAATCCTATGTTTATGTCCTACTTCATCTATTCGAAAATAGAAAATATAAATAATGCTAATCTTTTGAAGAGGGTAAGATAGAATGCCTACTTTTTGTTGAAATTTTTGTAAGAGCAGCAGAAAGGTAGAATAGAGAAGAAAAACCATTTGTATACAAAATAAAAAAGTATTCTTTAATTGGTAGAGATTTGCAAGCAAATTTGCCTGTATAATTACTATAAATATATCTCTAATCTACTTTTTTAATTATTTACAATATTTAAATAAAATGATAATATTTAAAAATAAGGATTATATTTTTGCAATATTTGTATTTATATTATAAGACAAAAATTTTAGTTTGCT